ACAAATGGGAACAAACTTAATTTTGAATACTCGTAACACAGTGCATGGCGAAATGAAGACAATATGTCAGTCACATGAGGTTAAAGCGAGGATAATTGGATGGTAAGGTGGGGAGGGGGTGGTATTAGGGTAATATAAGAGTAATATGATGACGATTTGAGGGTGCTAGCATAATATTATGGAAATATAAGGGGGTAACTAAGAATGACAGAGACAGGTAGATAGAGGGAGAGAGAGAGAGAGAGAGAGAGAGAGAGAGAGAGAGAGAGAGAGGACTGAAGTGGTTTAAGACAAACTGAATTTTAGCAAAGAAGAGAACTTTTAACAAGACACACATAAAGAGAAGATCTCTACATTAAAGATGCTTACGGGGGCGGACAGTCATAGACGTCTGAGGTTTGGCAGGGGCCCTAAAATTAAAACTTTTCTGCACTTCAGTTGTGCGTAGGTTTTTGCTCGTCACAGGAGCAGTTGATCTTTTGTTGACAGAAGAGCTAGACTCAGTTCTTTTCAGTTTGGACCTAGCTGCAGCTGAATTCCTTGCTGCTGTGAGAGTTGATGATGACAAGGATCTGGCAGGTTTTGTTGTCTGATTTGGCGGTGGCACCTCAAGTCGAGATTTTTTTCCTCCTGAAGGGACCTGAAGACGAAAGGTGGCATGAAATAATAATTGCTAACGTGCCAGGAGCAAAGTGGTCAGTTAGTGGAAAGTATAATTTTATTATTTTCTCCCTGTTCCTGGGAGTTAATAATTGTAAATCATAAACAAAGCACAAAGAAATGGGCTTTTAAAAAAATTCCAAATGGTCAGTGTAGGTACAACCACACAAATTAAAAGTGAGACTACTAAAAGTTGTTGCTGTAGATGTTAGAGATCCTTCAACAGCTGGGCTCTCGCCCCTCTGTTTAATGCCACGGTTCCGGGACAGTTGCTGTACTGTTTCATAAAATGTATTGTCAATGTTAGGATTCAGAGGGAGAAGCATAGCTGATATATATATTTAGGTTTGTGCAGTAGAACAGGTGAGACAGAGAGAGTTGAGTATGAGGAGAAAAGCTAGCCAGGGAAGACAGCAAGACATATGAGAGAAAGATCATAATAGCATTCCCAGTACGCAGCCCCAAAAAAATAAAAAAATAAACATTACATTCACCACCTCATCTTCAGGACTTCTTGCTCTCTTCTGGCGACTCCCAGGAAGTGGAAGGCGGCTTAAGTTGCTCCGAGTAGCTAAAGGCTTCCGCTAGAAAAAAAAAAGAGTACTCATTACTTAATTATAATTCTTTAGAACAGTTTTATTTTACACAAACCAATTCTAAAGATCAAATGATGATGTCGACATAGTAAGTACTCATTACCTACGTTCGAAATATGAGTGGCATCATGGTGATATCTTCATCAGGCACTCAAGATCAAAATTATGAAATTGAAGAAACCCAACATTCTTTCGCCTGCGGGTTCAATCCCAATGAATTAAATTTTTTGGCTCAACACTTTCATGTACATTTAAAAACAAATTTCAGCCTGGCTTTTACTGAAAATATAGATCATGATTTAAAAAATATAAATTTGCAGTTTCCAAGGACTCTCAAGCTTCGACAGTCAACCATACTTGGAGAGGCCATGCTAAAATAATTTTTCCTTTGGCACCAAGCGACCCTCCGCCCTCCATCTCCTAAAATCACAAAAATTATCTCTTCTTTTTTATTCTCAAGATGGATTGGTGTCTTTTTCATCAAAAGCAAGCAAATGAAGAAGCTCTAAGATGGTATCAACTTTATTATAAATGCCCAAAAATTAACGAGCACCTGATTCCTCCATGCCATGACACAAATTAAAAATTATATGTATATATTTTTATAAAGGAGGCCTTTTACAAGCATCTTATAATTATACACAAATTCCCTCGCAACAGCAAACTCTTTTATCATGCACTTAAAATCTATTTATCACCCCAATAGACCTGACAGCATACTGAAACAATATCTCCTCTCTACTCTCTTCCTGGGAATGGGAAGCATACAATGCAAACTGATAGAAGGCGCTAACAACATACTGAGTACTGACAAGACTGTACTGTCTATGGCTGGGTACAGTTTGCAAGTTAGCCCCAACCCATTTTCCACCTGGGCGAAAGGAGGAAAATTCATGATCATGTAAAGAGCCTTTCCCAAGACATCGTCAGGCCTGCAGCTTGAACCCCTGAGCCTGTAAACACTTACAAAAAAAAAAAAAAGGAAAAAAAAAAAAGAATACATACATACATCTCTAGATCTAGATCTAGGCCCTACTATTGACAACAAGGCCTACCGACAGCAAGTCCACGATGAAGGTTAACGAGAAAAAAAGAGGCTAAAAGACAAAATAATAAAATAAGTTTTTGGCCACATCTCTCTACAAACAGGTTGACATTGGGGAGCTGAAATGGAAGGAGTCGTCATGTGAAGTAATGTAAGTAAAGTGGTATTTTTAAAACGTCAGGACTGACTGTTCTGAAGTGAAAATGAAGTGAAAGGGTGCATGGTCCATGCAATAGCAATAGCAGCAAACCAATGACATCAAAGTATTTGAAAGTGCAACAACTACGACCACTCATATCTATTGCGCAAGAGTTAGACTAGATGTTAGAGTGGGGGAGGGGAGTTGGTGGGGGGGTTCAGGGGGGACTCCCCCTGGCCTGGACAAACTTTCAATGATTAGAATCAAGATTAGATTAGACTAGATCTAGATCTACCGGTCGGAGATTCATCTAACCGAGGGAGATTAAAAACAGGGGAAAATTATGAATTGAATTCCTTAGGTTGAGAGGCATTATATTAAGTAGTCCCAGTGATCAATCAGCCGGCCCGATATAGGCCTATTCTTCAATGTTACACCGGACTTCCGTAACGAGCGACCACCCCAAAAGAATACAAGACATAAGAGACCTAATCCTAGCTAGATCTAGATCTAGATTTAGATTAGAAAAATCTAGATTTCTAGATCTAACCCTAACCCTACCTAGAATCTAGTCCCTCTATTCTACTTCTCTACTCTGTTTAGTGGTCGCTCGTTACGGAAGTCCTCTCGTCTCGGTCAAATTAATGTCACGTACAAGTAGTACAAGTGTAGGCCTAATCTAGATCTAGATTGGCCACCTCTTTCTCACCCGGAGTGAGAATAGTGCAGGCGAGTCTTGTGGCTATTCTCACCCGGTGCGCGTTCACCAAATTTTGCGTTCACCCTAA